CCCCTAACCTCAAATAAAAACTTAAAAAGCAGTTTCTCGTAATTTACACCCGCTTAATGCATTTTTGATAGATGGTTTAGCATTTGTTTTTTGTATTTCTCATTGCCTAATATAAATATGGCCTTACATCAGAGTCGACATAAAACTGTACGTTCCTAACCTAAAAGAACTCTCAAAAAATGTATTTTTACCTTCTTTACAGCTGTTTAAAGCATTTGAAAGATTGGTATAAGGTTACATTTTTATACTTTTTATCGCCAAGTAAGTAAATAATCCAACTATAAAATGCAGACTAAGCAGTTTACCCCTAACCTTAAAAATATTTTCTAAAAATTAGTTTTCTGCAGTATACACATGCTGAAGAAAATTAAATATAAGAATATGCTCAATTTGTAATAATTTACATCTACCGATAATTAAATTCGTACCAAAAATAATATTCTGTGGTATTACCAAATAAAAATGTACCTAAAAAAGTATGCGAGTATGAGTATGAGTATGAGTATAAGAGACGTATAACCAGCCCCATTTCCTCTTGACTCTCGAACCCCGTACAGGCCTATGTTTACTTACGCCGATTTTTGTTCTTCCCCAGCAACTGCACGGCTTCACCCGTGTTTGCTGGGTGCGAATGTCCATTGCGTTACGTACTGTCCCCTATTTGGGGCTCGAGAGCGAGAGGCGAATAGTTATAATAGCCATTCCCGGGTTCGCCGAGCCTATGCTATACGCTCGGTGGGGTATGGATGAGGGACGGGAGGGAGTTGGTTTTTGGGGGACAATTACGCCGACTTAAAACTAAGTACGACGCGGAATCCCCCTAGACCAGTCGATTAGTATTACTCCAAACATTTGGGATCACTATTTGGAGTTGGGGAGTTGTTATTTCGCTGCAGGGGTGTAGTTTCCTAGTCGATGTCTTTGTCTTGTTCGTTATTGTCATTGTCCGTGTCCTGGTCAGATAGTTCCTGCCCTTGGTAAAGTGTGTCAGTTGTTTTTAATAATTTTTGTCCCAAGCACGTTTTGTGGTAGACTTCCGTCTTTGTTTATCAAATTCCAAAGCATTGCATTTATTCACTAGTCAAACAAATCACAAGCGCGATTATTCTGTTGTCTAATGTTTACAAACTCGAGTTTGGCTATTAGGCCCTTTTTTAATGTGTTAGAATTTTGTTCAATGTTAGTTTACTCTGTCAGTCCAGTGTTTATTTTCCGGCTCGATTGGGACCGCCTTACGCATTTGCTGTTGACAGACTTATTGCCCCACGCTGCGTGCCCTTCTTAGGTTTTAAAGATATCCCAATAAACACTTTAACGATACCTATCCCCACTAACATTGCCCGTGTAAGAATTTTTAACACTCTTTAATACAATTTTGCAATGATAGTAATTAAAACAAAACAATTGTTTAAAGAGTAAAATATGTTCTTAACATAATCATTTTTAAAGTCATTTTAACATTTTCAAGTAAAATAAATGTTATGTTTAATGAAATGAATACGGGCAATGTTAATGGTGTCAAATAACGGAAAATGCTTGTTGGGATCTGCCGTATTTATATTGCAGATTTGTATCAGGTCATGCATACTCTTAAAGTAAAACTTATCAGATTTTTCCCCTTGCGGATGGCCACCTCCCCTCTTCTCCGACCTCCCCCGTCCGTCCAGTGATAAGCCTCCAATGACAGGTGGCACCCAAGTCATTCATATCACCCAACACTCCGCTCCTCAATGACCGTTACACCATTTTAGCTTGCACTCCATGAAAATGTTTGTTTCACTTATCAGTTCGCACCCCTTTTTTTTAAATTATTGTTGGTTTCATCTTTAAACTTTTACGTTTCAAGAGATCTCCCGCACGCGAGTCGCGAGCATTGCTGTTTGTAAGTTTCAAGAGCGCGACGGCAAGATGTAAGATGCGACTAACTTTGACGAACACTCGAACGTGACTGATGTACCTAAAAAAGTATGCGAATGCTTCAAATTCGAATACTTTTTAAGAGTACATTTTTTTTGGTAATACTACAAAAGAATATTATTTTTGAATGTCTGGGGCATTATCACATCTAATATTTAGCTTTCTTTGAACCCTTGCATGTTTTGCTTTGCTATAGAAAAGAATTGATATTTTACTGAATTTTTTTTTTTCGAACTATGCAATGATTTGCAATCAAGAATTGATTTCCCATGTGCCGTCCCATGAAAGTGCCATTCTGCGGTCATACCAAAATCCTCTTTATGATGAATTAAATTATTTATTTGAAATCTGTTTTTGAAATGCTGCTTGGAACAGTCTGTAATGAAGATAATATATTTAGCACACTTTACATTTTTTGTATGTATTCTATTAAAAATGATTGAACGGTGGAAACAACCGCCGAATGGAGTCGAATAAAAATACTAGGCTTTCAGTAGTACACAACAGGAAACATAGTACACTGATCTTTGTTAGGGTGAAATGCTTGAGCAGCATCTTGTACTATGTATGTATTTTCATGAGTATACAGTGTGTTTCTCACTTGTGGAATAAAATTCGTTATTCAATAACTTTATGAAAAACGCTGGTTTTTTTATTTAAAATCTTATAATTATAATTTAAAATTTTGTGCCCCAACCATTCCTTCCCACCAAATTATGCACGTTTATCTTAAATAGTATTTAAAGTATTTAAAGTTAAAGAAAGTGCATAAGTATTTAAAATATTTAAGTATCCAAGATACTTTTTTAGTATTTAAGATACTTTTAAAAAATACAAGATACAAATACTTTCATTATGTATCTAAAATATTAAGTATAAATACAAAAATTCAAAAGTATTTAAGATAATAATTGTAACTTTTATCTTAGATAATTCCCAGCTCTGATTGGACGTCATAAATATTATTATTTTGTGGACATTGCATTAAATTGTTTGCAATATCATCTGTACCAGGACAATTTAAACATTAATCCAAATAATTATTTGAATGAATTGTTAACAAGCGGCCGTCTCTCTTTGGCATACCATTTGTTGTAAACAATCCTTATCCATATGCACCAATTGGCTTTTTCAATTGCTTTGTTAAATTTTCTATATTAATTAAATCCAACATAAATTTGCAATTTTGGTAAATTGTACAGATACAAACAGAATAAGTACTTTCTATTTGCTCCCGCAAGTATATCATGTTTTAGTCTTAATTGTCCAAATTTACTAAATCCATCTAATTTTTCCACATTTTCTGACTTGTATTTCGTATATAAATCTAAGGCTATAAAGTACCTACATGTAAGACGGTTTTAAACTAAAATTCGATTATCATCTTTTAACTCTTTCTGCATCTCCATCTCTCTTTGGGATCGTGTTGTGTGGAGCAGGTTCCAAGGAATTAACAAAAATAGTGGAATCATTTGTATTACATGAAATTATTTTATCATTATTAATTTTTTCTTCTTGTGCGGCAAACTTCGATGTTATTTGAGTATTTTCCCGAGAAATTTAAAAACTGCAACAAGTAATTTACAACTTTTTCAGGTTATTACTATAAGTAATACTTGTGTGCTTTAAATTATTAAAATGCATTTTTACACCAAACTCTTCTTGCTTATGTTAATTGTGTCTATAGTGTATATTATCGAGATATTTTGATTGTAATTTACAGGTTTAATAATAAATTACAAAAATTTTAGTATAGAACTAATTGTAACATTTAATTTTGGATAAAATAATAATAAATAATTTTTTTATTCAAAATTAAAGCAAACGTTTAGAGCATCTGTCTGGTGAAATTTAAATTTGAATTTTTTGCATTAACGGAAAAAATAAGTGTGCTTTGAAAGGGAAGTTTGAAATTGGTAGAATGTAAATGTCATGTTGACAGTTTATCTACTTACTTAGAGGTCGAAATGTAAGTACATTATTTAATTTTTTAAATAAACTTAAATGTAATGTTTTAATTATAATCAACTCATGATTTTGATGATATAGGTATTTGATATTGCAATATTTATAAATTATAATGTGCGCTTTCTTTAGTTTTCTGACAACATTCTCCTGCCACTTTTGTAAAAGAATAATAAATACGTACATAAAATAAGTAATATAACCCAATATATACAGGTTTTTATTATTAAATATACGTTTATTGCATATTTTACAGGGTGTTGCCTAATTTTGGGTACCTACTTATTTATTAGGTTTGCAATATACAAACTTTTAATTTTAATTTTGTTTTTTATTACATATTTTTTTAAATAGATCAGATAGATATTAAAACTTCACAAAATACTATAGAATAAAATAAAAAAAGGTTTAGTCATTTTCGGCCGATTATTAAATATTTACCAATTAAGTAGGTATTTGGCTTTATATTAGTTATCGGTAAGTACTACTTCTATTTTCCGCTTTTTTGATCATATTGTAAAAAATAAACACCAGCTGTATTCGCCATTTTATACGCCGCCTATTTATGTAGTAGTCAATATGTAAATTAAAAAAATTATTTGGGAATAATTTATGTAATTTAATTACATTAAAATGTTGATAGTTCGATTCCATTTAAAAATTAACACAAGCAAGAAAAGTTTGGTGTTCAAATGTTATTCTATAATTTAAAGCACATAACTAATAACCTAATAAAGTTTAAAATGTAGATAAACTATAAAAAATATTTAAATTTATACGGTCAATTTTTAAATAGGTCATCAAATTATAAGGAATACTGCTTTCCATGAATTTATATGTTAAAAGTTTGTTAATAAACTTTACTTGTTACAGTTTTTAAATTTTTCGGCATTAAGAATCTGACAGCAATGTCTTCAAAAGTTGTACGTACAGACCGGTGTATTAATCCTTTTAATTTGGATAATGGGCATAAAGGAAAAAACTTGAACATTGAAGAGGCAGTTTTCACACCTGCATGAAAACACCAGAATTTGTTATAAATGCAGAAAATATTCCAATAACATAGAAGCTTCAAATAATCAGGATAGATCACAAATTATTGAAAACAATATTTTTAGAAACGTAAGTGAATCTGAACAATTCACTGAACGTACTAAATTTGCCGCACAAGAAGAAGACTTTAATAATGATAAAATATTTTCAAGTAATAATAATGATTCCACTATTTCTGTTAATTCCTTGGAACCTGCTCCTGAAACACGATCCCAAAGAGAGATGGATCTTGAAGATATATTAAATAGTTTAAAGCAAAAATTCTCCAGTTTACCCGATGGGGATGCAGAAAGAGTTAAAATTCTTACAATAGCACCTCTGTCCTGGAGTGAACGTAAAATTGCTAGAGAATTCAACTGTTCAAGACATCTCGCAAAAAAATCCAAAGAATTGCGGGCTTTAAGGGGTGTTTTAGGAAGCTGTACAGAGAAAATTGGAAAATCATTACCTAAAGAAATCTGTACTAACATTCTTGATTTTTACAATGATAACAGGAATAGTAGGGTAATGCCTGGTATGAAGGACGTTGTTTCGGTAAAAAATGATGGTGATCGTATTTTAGTTCAAAAACGTCTTATACTTTATTCCCTTAAAGATTTGTATACAAAATACAAGTCAGAAAATATAACAAAATTAGTTGGATTTAGTAAATTTGCCCAATTAAGACCAAAACACTGTTTACTTGCAGGAGCAAATGGTACTCATTCTGTTTGTATTTGTACTATTCACCAAAATTGCAAATTAATGTTGGATTCAATTCATGTAGAAAATTTAACAAAGCAATTAAAGAAGCCAATTGTTACATATAAGGATTGTTTACAGCAAATGGTATGCCAAAAAGAGGATGCCGCTTGTTATTTGGATGAATGTTCAAATTGTCCTGGAACAGTTGATATTGCAAACAATTTAATAAAATGTCTACAAAATAATAATATTTATGATATCCAATTCAGTTCTTGGACTGGAACAGATCGATGTACTTTACAAACACTAATCCTCCCGACTTTAGATTTTGTCATAGACCTATCTAATAAGTTATTAAAATTGAAACCACATTCTTTCATTGTAAAACAGAAAAATAAATATATTGAAAATAGGAAAAGTAATTTATCTAGTAGCGAAGTGCTGGTTTGTATGGATTTTTCTGAGAACTATAAGTATGTAGTACAAGATGCTGCTCAGGCATTTCACTTTAACAACGACCAGTGTACTGTTTTTCCTGTTGTGTACTACTATAAAAGTGATACTAAAATCGAGCATAAAAGCCTAGTATTTTTATCCGACAGTACTAAACACGATTCGGCTGCTGTTTATACGGTTCAATCACTTTTAATAGAATACATAAAAAGCCAAGTAAAGTGTGCTAAACATATTATCTACGTTACAGACGGTGCCAAGCAGCATTTCAAAAACAGATTCCAAATAAATAATTTAATGCATCATAAAGAAGATTTTGGTATGACCGCAGAATGGAACTTTCATGCGACGGCACATTGGAAATCCTCATGTGATGCTATTGGAGGAACGTTTAAACGTGAAGCAGCTAGAGCCAGCTTATTGGCTAAGCCTACAGAATCAATTCTTGATTGCAAATCATTGTATAGTTGGGGAAAGAAGAATTTTAGTAAAATATTAATATTTTTCTATGGCAAAGCAGAACATGCAAGGGTTCAAAGAAAGCTAAAGATTAGATATGATAATGCTCCAGCGATCACTGACATTCAAAAACAACATTCTTTTCTGGTATTACCAAATAAAAATTTACTCTTAAAAAAGTATTCAAATGCCCCAAATGGCTTCGAATTTAATTATCGTTAGAATCTGAGGTAGATTTCAAATTACAAATTCAGCATATTGTTATGTAATAACTTTTATATAATAAATATTTTAACATATCATTTAAACCTCATTTTTATTGCATATATGCAAATTTTTTAGGTTAACAAAGAACTGCCATCAAAGATCATAAACTTTTTAGCGATACAAGTGTGTGAATAAATCTATAAATCCCATATTTAAATTTTCTTTAGCGTCTGTATACTGCAGAAAATTAATTTGTAGAGAATATTTTTAAGGTTAGGGCTTAACTGCTTTGTGTGCAGTAAATATTTGGATTATTTACGTACTTGGCGATAAAAAGTATAAAAATGTAACCTTATGCCAATCTTTGAAATGCTTTAAACAGCTGTAAAGAAGGTAAACATACATTTTTTGAGAGTTCTTTTAGGTTAGGAACTTACAGTTTTATGTCGACTCTGAGGTAAGGCCATATTTATATTAGGCAATGAGAAATACAAAAAACAAATGCTAAACCATTTATCAAAAATGCATTATGCGGGAGTAAATTACGAGAAACTGCTTTTTAAGTTTTTTTTTTGAGGTTAGGGGCGAACCATTGTGTAATCACCGGTAAAAAATACATAGAATCACTGATAATAGATCAGTGCATTAAATAAAATTTAATTTTTAATTTTATAAAGTTGTTAGTTAATGTAAACTACGTATTACGGATTTTTTAAAGTGATGTCTATTGCTTGCAGTCGCTATATTGACACCGCCATTTTGAAATTTTACAAAATATCACTCGGCATTTAAAAGTTAAGACGATAAGCTAAAAATTCATCACTTGCACGTTTCGAAAAACTTAACTCAATTTTGCACAAGGGGGGGTGGCCGAGTTGACATGGAATGCCTCATATATATATATATATATATATATATATATATATGGGCCAAAAACATTGACTATTTTTTTTTGAAAAATATATCGAGAATGTCATTCAGAATGAAAAAAAAAAATTTGGTGAAAATTTAAGCCCTTAATATTAATATTAATTTTATTTAATTTTATTTTAGAGGTCTATCATCGCTATTTTTGATTTTTAGTCATAATTTGATGTTTTAATTAATTTAATTCTTCAAAAGTTATTCACGAAAAAGTATAAACCAGCCACACCTAAGAATAAGAAAATCTTTTTCTCTAAACATGTTGGTTGATACTGAAAAAGTGGGTTCTGACATAATCACGACAACTAGTGGAAAAGGACCGAAAACAAAAACAAAACTCGAACAAAACTTAGTTTGCTTGATGGAAACAAGAGTTTCGGGTTTGTTTCAGTTTTGTTTTTGATTTGCAAGTTTTTAAAAACATAAACAAAACCCAAACTCAACTGTTCGTTTAGTGGAAAACCGGCATAAGGTTTGCATTATAATAATAATTTATAAACGACACTTTGACCGAATCATAATCTTTCAAATGGTAGGCATGTATTGTTTAATAAAATTTATGGATTTAACAGTATTCTTCAATTTCAAAATAATGATCAATGATACAGTTACTTTTGGTAGACTATTATAAATAACAAAAACAATGTTTCTTACCATATATGAATGGTATTTTTGGGAATAAGTATGATAATGATTCAACGAGTTTTACAAATTAAAAAAATCACAAATTTTACAAATGAATACCAAATATACTTGTTTTAAATTTACATACATTCAGAGCCGGCTTAAGGCAATTGAGCGCCTTAGGCACTTAAAAATTTGGCTCCTCTAACTAGATACTATCCTTACGGGGCCCGGGGAAAATTTTAAAAAAGCTTATTAGAGCCACCCCAAATACATAATAAACATAAATAACATACAAACATATCAAATATAATGTAAATAAAAAGTTTTAGGACTTATTAGTGCGTTTTTCTTCAAGATGTATTTAAAAAAAATCAACTTTAATTTTCTGTATTTGTATGTTAGATGTACTGCTGGTTTATTGTAATTAGTTTAATATTAAAATTTCAGAAATACCTTAAAACAAACAGAAAAATTAATACTACTATCTAAATGTGGATTTAGCCAGCATTTTGTGTAACGTTATCTAACGTAACGTAATTTAATTTAAAAGATAAAACTGTATAACCCTACTTTCTTAAAATTAACTAGTCAAAAATGACTTTTGTCATAGCCATAGGACATTTAGCAGTCAATTCCTTTGTAAAATTATCTACTGAATCAAAAAATGACAAAAAGTTTTTGAGTTTAATCAATTTTTCATATTATATTTTTAATTGACTATATATATATCTCCAAAACTGTTCTACTTTCATAATTTTTGACTACATTTTTGAAAGCAGCAGACAATTTTACATAAGAATTATTATTGGCTGCTTTTTCGATATGACAATTAGTCATTTTTGGTTAATTCATTTTTGAATATATGGATGCGTTTACTTAGCTTTTCACGTAAAATAATGTAAGAAAAGGTTGGCCAACTTTTAACTTTTCTTAAATTATATTACATGAAAAGAAATCTAAGCTTGCGTATACGCTATAGCGTAATACCAACCTAATTTCCAACAACAAACATATGGAATGTTTGAAGGTTAGTAATATTGTTTTATGCTTAAAAGTAATGATAATTATCAAGGGTAGTTACATTGTTTTGTTCTTAAAATCTCTGTATCATGTTTAAAAGTAAAGATTTTTATCATTCAGTCAATCACAATCTTGCCAACATCGGTTTCAAAAAACAAAACACGTCTGCATTATGCATGCTTACAAACATGGACTAAATGTTATATAAATGGCACAATTGTTAAATTACAATAAATTAGGTAACGTTACATTACATTAAATGCTGGCTAAATCCTCCTTAACTATCGAGTGCCACTCTTGAATAAACACCCAAGTCCTTCCGGCAGCAGTTTTTTCTAGCATCGCGTACCCGCTGGGGACCCCCAGAGCAGCACCACAGCGGGTACCCGATGCAAAAGGCTTGGAGCTTGGAGCATACGGGGGTTTTGAAATAGTTTAAAAAGTGCTAGAGGCTAGAGATATGTTTATACAGGGGCAAATTAAATTATGTGAATAATAAAATATCTTATTCTACTTCAAAACGCATGCGTGCCCTCGTAATCAAGCATGGTGATATTTATATCATGTTATAACACCTGATTAATTTTATCTGAAATATATTTGGAATAAAAACAGAAGTGAATTTGCAGCACGCTTTTTTGTCAGCTTTACACCTCGTTATTACTATGGCGCGGAAGTTTTCCAGCGATTATATAAATGATTATATTGTGATATTATAGTTATTTTTTGCACATGTATAAAGATAAGTATTTACTTTTTTAACTCTGATTCTTGTAAACATTTTAACGTCATCGCTGTAAAAGTTCCGCGGTATAGTTATTACAAAGGAAGCTACATTTTTATAAAATAATAAAAACAGTAAAGAATATTCTTTTATTTTAATTGTATATTATTTTTTATTTTATTTTTGGAAAAAAAAATGATAACAATTTTTATTTTTTTTTAAGTTGCTTGGGGACAAGGCGCCTATTTCTACGTGGCGCCTAAGGCAAGTGCCTTGCCTGCCTAATGGGTAATATGGCCCTGCATACATTTGTTTTCCTCATTGCTTTTCCATAAATCTGCGAAATTCTTTAGTCTATAAAAGTTGCTTGAGAATTACTAAACAGCATAACCACAGAAGTACCTTAAATACATGGTATAAAACAAAGTTATTGTTTTCGTTACTAATTACATTTAAAATATAGCCACAAGTTAGATTTTAAATATAGCGCCATTGAAGTAACCAATCAAATACGTTGATTTTTCATCAATTTAAAGCTATGTTGGCGCCACGGCGCACTGTTTCCATTCAAAAATTTTAAGTTGCTGCCCTCTTGGCACTCCTAAAAGTAGTATACTTAATATCCTTAACAATAGTTTTTGTCCGATGTCGATACCTTTTTTCGTTTAAAAGATAACAGGAGGGGGGACATTTAACGTGCGCACTGTATAAAAAAAACAAAATCTACATATTTTACCGAGTTCGATTTTATCCTTCAACGGCTGTACATCGCTCCATGAAAAAGTCTGAAAATAGTTGACTTTGACCCAAGAAGGATAAAATGGGGTTCCCGGTATAGAAATATACCGGTATTTCTCGACAATATCGCAAGCTTTGACCTTTCAGCTAGGTATTTTGTGAATTGTGCAATCGATTTAGTGGATGTTTCAAGATTTGAAATTGAATGTCCGTGAGTGGATGGCTTCGAGAAGCTGAAGGACGTAAAAACTTGTAACTGGGCAGTAAGAGCCTAATTGGCTCAAGTCCAATTCACTCGGAAGAGAGAATAAAAAGTATAGAAGAAGAAGAAGTACATATTTTACCACATGGTTGCATACTGCCCTACTATGGAGAAAGGCAGTAACTACAAAAAAATTCTAAATGCGTTTTCTTGTGCTATGGACATTTTGTATCTTAATTCAACAAAGAAATGCAGTAAACTATCTAATTTCTTGTTTAGCAGTTACTGCCTTTCTTCATAGTTTGTAACCTCAACTCGAGGGCTATGGCGAACGGCAGCTTTACAGTGGTGAGATGGGTCGATGGGCAAATGTTGTTTCTCAATACTTACGTGCATTTCCAAAAGACAACAAAAAAATAAAAATGGTCGCCAGTGTCTTATTTAGGCCAGTTGGTAAAGTCCCCATAAGCTAGACACAAACTTAATGGGCATAAGGGCAATAAAAAAAAATCACGTTTAAAAATTATTAAGTATAATAAAATTTGGTTATCACCGTTGTTAAGGTGATTTCATTTGAAAATGATTA